TTGCCGGTAAGCTCGAACCAAGTTGAATCACAGGTATTCGACAACATCGCAATAGAACGCGATTGCTATCGATAATCGATATTGAGTTGTGTCACGTTAGAGAACCGCCATGGACTCTCATATGCCTGTTGAGATTACCGCTTTGGCTAAACCTCAGCAAGCACAGCTTACATTGATACGGTTTCTCACCAGAATGAATACGAAGATGTTTGGTTAATGTAGAGCTATCTGAGAATGCTTTTTTGCAGAATCGACATCTGGAAAAAAGAGGTTGCCGATTATAAGGTAAATCGATTAAGAGAACTATAAAAGTAGTTGTTCTTTAATATAATTATGTTGCTAATCGTTACTTGGAAGTAATTTATATGAATTTAAGAAAATAATAATTTTATATAATTAGGAGTAGTTGTTAAACATTTTTTTTATCCTTTTTTTGTATACAGTAAGATGCAAATATTTCCAAATAACGATATACTGGTTTAAGTGGCACATATTATGGTACATAAGTAATAATTCATATAATAATATAAAATTCACCTATATGGACGTTCTCCTGAGTGCGTTCTCATATGTGTGGTTACGGAACTGCTTTGCGAAAATCTTCGATCGCATACTGGACATCGAAATGGTTTTTCTCCGGAATGAGTTCTTGCGTGAGCAGTCAAATTCGCGGCTTGACTGAATGCCTTTGAACACGCGTGACACCTAAACAAAAAATGTAAATTTTTAAATATTTTGTAAATATAAAATAATATTAGCAAAATTATTACATCAAAAATTTTGAATTTTAAAATTTTATTGGAAGATCGTCTTAACACACATCAATCTGTCATACATAACGTTCATTTGTTATTATAACATTATTTTTGACCATAGATCAACTTTAATACTAAGATATTACATTTAAACGTATATATTTTTATTCTTAATATCATGCGTTAAATTTTGATTTTAAGATAACGATGTTATAACAATATCGGTTACAAAATTTATATTGATTCACAATTCGTTCGTTTAAAATTTAAATACTGTAATTGCGAAAAACAATTTATAGGAAAAATGGCTGTAAGTATTTTGTCTAAAAAATTTGTGAATTAATTGTATTTACAAAAATTATCTTAACAAAAAGGTATTAACTTCATATTAAATCTGTACCATTCAATTTTGATATCATCAAAATTTTGAACCTAACCTAAAGTAGTAATGGTAATGATAGTCTCGCGAATAATGTTCAAAAAATCAGAGTAACTTACTTTACATATAATGGTTCAAAGTATTTTTGATAATATTGATTAGAATAAAATGTTTATTAATATTTAGAAATATTTATCAAATTATCATATTTAGTTTAACTTTTACTTCAATCCTGCTAACCCTATAAACAATATGGCAATATTTTCTTATATTTTCAACATTTCCTGAAATATTTATTGAATTTAAATTGTTTTATACATATTATTCTATTATATATAATCGATAAAATAAATCTACAAATAGTTTTAATCTATGACAATAATTAATCTTTTTAATATCATCAAGATTTTTAATATCTATAAATATTTCATCTTAAAGTTAAAGTTTAGAGGATCATTTATTTTTTATCAATCGATAGATTTTGATGAATATATAATTTAAATATGCCAGTTTTATCTTTAGCAATTCGTGTATGTATTAAAAATTATGAATATTTACTCGTAATATTGATCTAGACTTATTTCAAGAATTATAGAATTAATACAATTAAAATAATCCTTAGACATTAATCGAATGTAAATTAAATTTTATTTTTATTTCATTTAATAAACATTTAATTGGTAATTGATATCCCATTTGGAATGCACAGACAGGAATCTATATTACCTACAGTCATATCAACGTATAGGCGTAAGATATCTATTTCTTATATAAATATCTTATCTGAAACTATTGACTCATCTCATTAGAAATATGTGTTAATAATATGCTTTTTTAAAGTGTATAACTTATATTATTAATTCTTAAAATTGAAACTATTTTTGAACTCTATTTGTTAAAATCTATTGATTGATAAAAAAAATAGATAAAAAATAAATAGTTTCTTAAATTAAATTTCAGCCCTTAATTTTATAGTCAATATTAATTAAACATAAAAAATATCTATCAAATCAAAATGAATTTTCATCGATATATTATCGAGCGATAATCAAAGTAGTCTCACCACTAACCTAAACGGTTTTTCTCCAGAGTGCGTTCTAAGATGCGTCTTAAGGGTGCTCGGTCGCGCGTACGATTTGCCGCAAATTCTGCAAAGGTTAGGTCTGCCATTATCGTCGGACGTGACTGGATTTCCGGTGGCGCCTATGCACAGAGCATGCTCACTGGACAATTGCAACCTGGAATGGCTGTGCGCTGGAGGATGAGAATGAGGATGGGTACTGGTGCCGATCAGGCTATTGGCCGGGGGTTGATTCACCCTTGCTTGCTGTTCCACGGGATTATACTGTGGGGCGGGACTTAACAGGGGTTCCACGCCCCATGTCGACGAATAGCTTTGCTCGTATCTACGCACACAACCGTGAATTTACTGAATAACTCTGCTTTTGCATCCTCTTAGACACACCCTTTTCGTAAAGTAAAATAGTAAAGGATTATTCCGTTTCAAAATCATTTTGAAAAATATGTTATCCGAAAATGAAAAGCTTTACTTTTGCTCATTAGAAATTATCGAAGGATGTTTGTTGTAAAACAAGTTATTTAATATTTTAAGATATAATATTTGATGTATAATATTTTTATTATATATGTAAATGTTTTTTAAGGATTTTTTTGTAGAATTTTTTTAAGAGATTCAATAATTATGTACATCTATCTGTTGGATGAATTAAATATTCAATAAGAATATTATTATTTTATAATATTATTATATAATAATTTTTATTATTACATATAGTATCTACTTTTTTCCATCTCAAAGTTATCTAATAACTTTCGAGCTCTATATTATTTTATAATTATTTAAAAAGGTAAGTTCATAAAAGAAATATAATTTTTATATGATAGAAGAAAATATTATAATATGGATATATTAGTTGTTTCGATAGATAATAGAATTTTTTAAATTAAATTTAAATTTTTATACTAATAATAATATAAATTATCTATCGTGATAAAAAATTTATTGTATTTTCACAATAATTTTAAATATATCATATAATATTTTGAATTAAAAAATAAATATTTTATATTAGTTATAATATAATTAAGTTAATTGTAAAATAGTTATATTATATAGTTATACAATATTTAATATTTAATAGTGATAAGAAATGATATTTTATTACATGAGTATGCAATTAAGAATAATTCATTCCTTTTTCTATTAGAATCATGGAATGCCAGGCACTTATTGATTTGCTTTATACTTTGTATGGCTTCCAATAAAGTGTCAATTTCTAGCAAACATTTTCTCTACATAAAAATGATTCAAAAAATGAGTATGAATATCTATGTATTTCTAAACAATAATAAAAATATAATAATGATGAAAATTTTAATAATTATCATGATTTTCGTATGAAAAAGTATTTTATTTCACACTATTTATTAAATTATTTGAAATATTAAAATATTCTTATGATAAATTGAATATTTTTTCTTTTTTTTTAGAAGAAATTTTAGAATTTAATTTTTCTAAGAATAGTCAAAAACTAGCATTGATCAATCATCATTTTTATATTTATAATAGCGAATCATTTTTAAATTCATTTTTTTAAAAAATTAAGAATATCTGATTTGAAAATAATACTCACCCAGAGTGCATATTCATGTTCATGGTCATATTCATGGAAACATTGACAGACATGGCTGGTGTGGAAGTATAATGGGTGGGTGGTACAGGTGGACCAAGATTTTGCGTGTAATCTTGGGAATAATGATGATTCGATCCTCCTGTTGTTGAGTAGTATCCTCCGGTAGGGCTTCCAGGATGGACCACCGCATGTTTTAACGATAGTAATACATCTGCGACACCTTCCCCGTTCGTGTTGCTCGTTCTTGGCGCGCATTCTCCTCTGGTGCAACCCCAACTGCAAGGACACTTAAAAATTACAAGGTACATCGAATACAGCGTTATAATCATTTTTAATTCTACGTGCCTCTTTATATTCTTTTTGTCTATATTCTTGTTTCAAGGAACCTCGTTTATTATCTTAGGAATAATGAAGAATGAAGATATTGAAAATTCTATTCAAAACTGTTTTGATGATTTCTTCAATTTTTGAATTCTTCATAATCTAAAATTATTTTATTTTTTTTTTTATATATTTATATATTATTTTATAATCTAAAATTATTTTTATTGTTCCTTTAATAAATGAATGAAATTTAAAAATTGATTACTTGTTGTTGTTGTTAGAATTTTATAGAGTTATTAAAAAAATAAGACTTTTTATATGTTGCGTTACAATCAATATTAACTTTATATTATGTCCATACACAAATATTTTATAATTCTTTTCGATTTTTTTTAGAGATAAGTAAATAGTAATATAGTTTTAAGTGGAAACGTCTGTCTTTAATCAGACACCGTATCTTATTACAAAATTAAGTCTTAACAAAGTTACAAATATTTGGTGAAAATGACATAAAAAATTACAAAAAAAGAAAAGAAACTGTTATTTCTAAAATATATTATCTTCTCCAAATTTTTTATAAAAGTATGATTTTAAAATTCGTTACATTATTGATTAATATTATTATTAATTTTTTTTATTTGATTTCAAGATTAAGTAAATATATTTTTAAATTTTATTCCAAATGTGATAATTACACGAAATATGTAATATAATATATTTAAGTAGAACAAAACATTAATTTAAATTTTAAAAGTAGAAACATCGAATTGTGAAGTAAATTTGACGCGTTAAGTGAAAACTCGAGTATAGTTTACACAATTTTGAAAATAAGAAAAATAGAGAGACTTTTTTCTGAAAAAAAGACATTTTCTGCGACTCACTTATAGGTTCCCGAGCATGGGCTGAAGAGGCCAGGTGGTAAAGGATCCAAGTCCAGCGGCGGCAATGGAAAACCAGCCATATCGTCGACCCAAAAACTCGCCCCAAACTCACTAACCACTTGATTCTGTCCAGAATTTTGAATTTGTTGAGTTTGATCGCCACCAATGTCTTCCGCAGAATTCTGTAAATCTTGTAAACGAAGAGTGCCCTGTAGAGCACCCAATGTCTCTTCGTTTTGATTATCTGTTAAGGTGTCTTCACTGGTTAGAACACCTAAAGATCCGGTACAGAGACCGGAAGGTATAGTGGCCTCGATACTTCCTACCGAACCTGCCAAAAATTATTCGAAAAAAACTTAAGTTAGATTAAATTAAATTAAATTAGGATTAGGATTAAAAAAAAATATAATAATTTTCTTCTCAAATCAGATCACAATTACACCTAATAAGCATTTTTATTAAAATTAAAAAGAAGAAATATAAATTTGTAAATCTTGAAATTTTCTTTTAAAATCTTTTTCTTCTAAAGTTTGAAGTATTATAATTGTTGATAATTTATTTAGTATAACAAATATTATATTATTTTCATTATTATTTATATTATATATATTTATATTTATATATTACATAGTAAATGAAGTATGAAGGTGAAAAAACATAGAATTTTAAATTTTAAAATTATTATTTAAATATTGTGAAAATGAATATTTTAATAATAATAACTTTATTTTATAATAATATTTTAATAACTTGAAAAATTTAAAGTAAAGATTAAAAGAAAAGTAACTTTTTAGGAAAAATTATTCCTATTTAAATGTTGTTAATTTGTTTTTTAAATTTATTAATAAAGTAATAAAAATTACTACTAATAACTCTAATAACTTTCGTTTAAATGAAATATATAAGAAAAGGGACAATACTACAATAATGAATGGATTAAAAGAGCGACAAATATAAAATTATATATAAAATTATATCATTATGTGTATTAAGTATATAATATCAAGTATATTAGAGTACAAAGATATTAAGTATGCAAATTTAAAAAATAATTTAAAAAAAATAAGAAAAGGAGATATTGAATAATAATAATAAAAATAAAATATACATTGGAATAATCTATATAAAAATCAATAGATATCTTTATCAAGATATTTCACTTATTATTATTAATTTAATTTATGTTATATTAAAAAATTATCGTAAAATTTGCGCAAAATCTGAAATATAAGATAGAGATTTCATCACATTTCATAAAAATGAAAACACAATATATAATGGAAAAAATAGGCTTTCAACCATCACATAGATCACTAAAATCACTTTATGGTGATATTAAAATGTTTTTCTTCCTTAACGAATGATAATATAAATTTTTCATCTTAAGTTTTATATCTTATACATAATGTAGTAACTGGAATACTTTCTTTATCTTTATAGAAATACTATGGCTCACCTGTGCCAAGGGTGTACGGCGATTCGGAGGTGTTCACCGTGTGGTGATTCTGCAGAAACTCCATCTCTGCGAAATTTCTGCTCGTAACCGCCCTTAGAGACAACCCCTTTCCCCGCCTCGATAAAATACGCGGACGGATTGCCTCCTCTCTGTGGAGATGTGGTCCAGCCCCTCTGGTCTCCCTAGCAACCGCACATTGCTCCGTGAGTATGACCGATTTTCTTTATCAATATTTTTCACGATATTTTCCCAACTATTCCCATCGCTTCCTTGATTGCTCATAGGAAATATGTATTTTCAATATTTTATTCTTTTTGATTTTCTTTCGTCTTATTGATAATACATAAAAATATAAAAATTTTGCACTTCTTACTTCATATAGTGAATACTTTGTTTTATATATTTTTCGAATGTATAAAATAATAAGATTTGGAAAATTATAAGTGAGTAATTTTTTTTTATCTAAAATGCATTTGCATTGCTATTCCTACTATGTTAGTTTTGTTTTTTAATTATTTAATGGAAATTAGTTATTTATTGAAAGAAGATAGAAGAACAGATGAAGCACTTTGATTTTATTTCAAATATCAAAGATTTTTGAAAAATATATACTTATTATGTATTTTATTTTTAAAAATTGCAATGAAATGAATATGAATTTAAATTCGTACTATTATTATTAAAACTTAAATAATATTTTACATAAAATTGTTAAAACTTAGTATAAAATTTTTATTTTTTATTTTTCATAGAAAATAAATTTTTAATTCTAAATTCTATCTAAATTCTATATTTTTATTATTTTTGCTATTTTTCTTTTTTTTTTTTTTTTTTTTTTTTTTATATATATATCATGTTATTAACAGAACAATTCTATAAGGATAATTCTATAATTGTAAGGATAAGGGATTCTATAACGATACGATATTATAGCTAATAATTTTTCTCATTAAATATTGCAATATAAAATTTAAAATATACTACAATAAATGAAATATAAAATTTAAATATAACAAATTAAATGTAATATACATATTTATAATTATATGCATACGTACAAATACAGGATAAATATTGATGGGAGACAGAAATGAATTATGCCAATTTTAGAGATTAAAATTAATATAAAAATTGATAGATAAAACAGCAGCTCTATCTTCGTTGCACCATTATCTTAATATTAATCCCATATGTATGTATCAATGTTATATATTATAAGGAAATTTTAGAATCGTTAAACGATATATAATAGAATAATTCGATCGCTAGTTATAGTTATATCCATTTCGAGAATTCAACGATTTCTTTATTATTCTTTTAGTATTTATAGAGTTATCCAAGAAATACTAATGTAATAATGTAGATCAGTAATATTGTTTGAAGAATAGGAATAAAATCATAAAAATCAACGAATTTTATGAATGACTTTTTATGAATGGCTGAAAGGAAAATGCACGTGCATATGGACCGAACGTATAGAAGTACCTTTATGGCTTGGAAGACCTGCCGGTTTCCTCTAAAGGCTTCTGCAGAAAATCTGCCGGATATTTTCATTCATAGTCTGAAAACCATGTGCATCTTTCCACGTGATTCACTTCTCCATTTTCGACGATTTAAATAATCATCAGTTACTTCAAAATTCACGTTTTGTCTGCTCTTTTTCTCTCAATAAATGTCTCTACACTTTTTCATTTTGAAACTTTTACTTTTCTCTAATTATTCGATGATGAACAAATAATTATGAATATAACAAGTATATAATATTTGTTATGCAATATATAACTAAAGTCTGAATATATATATATATATATATATTTTAATCTTAAATTTTTACATTCAACACAATCTATAATATAAATTATTGTTTTTGCATTTGTATTAATAAATATCTAACTTTGTAACATTTTTGCACCGTTTTTCTTAACGGTACAACAGCTCTTCGTTCTTCTTTCTGTTTTTGTACAAACTTTTTATTTTTTTCTCAAACATTTTTAAAATTCCGTTTTCTTTTTAATCTCAATATAGTATATAGAACACGTTCTACCTACACTTAATTTCACAATTAAATTTTCAGTCTGATTTTGAAGCACAAAGAAGACATAATCACACTTTGCACGTTTTCTCTGCCGTTAAACACACTCGGGTCATTCAAGAAGGATCTAGAAGAGGACGGACTTAAATCACTGTGAGTTAACTTCAATCACACATCGAATTTTGATTTGATCTTTTTCGAACTTGAACTTGAAGATATTCTTGAAATTTTTCCAACTTAGATCGATCTTGAGGCAAGAAGTGGAAATTTTAAGGGATGGCACCGTATGCTACTGTCATGCTGGCACGATGGCTTGTCAATGTGTCTTAGCTAACTAGAGATCTACCACCTACTATCACCCACTCTCACCCCTTACTCACTGACTACTGCTTCGACCCCACTCCACTACGGGCCGGCCTTTTCGCCGCTCTCTTTTTTCCTTCATCGTATTTGCCTTGTTCCACGCACATATCATCCTCCTCTTCCACATGTGCTTACCCCTACCTTAAATAACGTTAACCTTCCATGCTTCCACCGTAAGGTGTTTGCTAAAGAGATTTGCAACATTTCAACTTTGCCTAAACTTCGAATACCATGGAATAATATCGCAATTATCGCTTAAAATTTCACCCTCTCGGACTGATTTAATAGAGATTTAGAAAAGATTTACAAAGATGGTACAAATACAAATTTTACATTGTAAATATTGCGTATATATTATATGTGTGTAGGTCAATGAAAATAAATAAGTTAGCCTTTTCTTTCTATAAACTTTCTATAACGTTGTATGTAACTTACGAAATTACGAAATTATTTTACGTTTCATGCGTTCATTATATGATATTCAGAAATCATGATTTACTTCGCTTAAAATTTATTTCAAGACGATGAAATTTTCAAATCAATTTTAGATATAATATTTAAAATTAGTAGTGTAATATATTTATCTATATTTAATATATATATATATATATATATATATATATATATATTATATCTATTACATAATTAATTTAT